AAGAAATGTCATCCAAGATTACTACTCTAGATCAGTCGATAGTGAGGATACAATGGCGGCAAATAATAACTATGCCGAGACCTCAAGGACTACACAATAATGGGATCATGAAGTTGAGTTTGATGATGTTTATGATGCAGTGATAATGGAGGATGAATTCTCAATTTCTAATGACTTAATTGAAGGAATGTGGTTCACAAGAAAGGCTGATCTACAATTTACGTTACAAGGCCGTTCAATTAAAAAGAATGTTTAAAATATTGTCATTGCATCAAATATAAAGAAATTTATAGTTGTTTGTGTGAAGCATGATTGCCCAGTGTATCCTTGCTTATGGCGACTTCATTATGCTCAGAATAAATGCTTATGCGGTATATGGAAAATCTCATATATAAAGAACCAACATACATGTGCCTCCCCAATTCTCGAAATGGCCACCAACACTGCAACTCACAATTTATAAGTTTCTACATTCTACCCACAATTAGAAAGAAGATGGACCTGAAGCCATGGGAGATAATTAGTCGCATGGAATTGAAGTTCAATATTAAAGTGTCATACATGAAGGCTTGGGATGCTCGACGAAAGGCTATTAAAGTTATTTTTGCCAGTCAGGAGGAGTCTTACCGTACTCTCAATTTGTTCATAGATGTCATTGCCTATGTAATGTTGGTAATGATATATAGAATTTAAAGCACACAAACGAGTAGATTTCAAAGACTATTTTGGGCATTCAGTCATTCTATTATTGGGTGGACTTATTGTCGGCCTGTTCTTAGTCTTGATTGCACATTCATGCTAGAAAAATATTAAGGGACATTATTAATTATAACCTGCTTGGATGCTAATAATGGTATATTTCCACTTGCCTTTTATATAGTTGAGTCAGAGTGTAAATCATGGAAATGGTTTCTCAGGCAAGTTAATGAGCTCCTACCAGTGGTTACGAACAGACATAATCTCGGTATCATATCAGATAAGCATGGCTGTTTGGTCCAAGGTTGTAGGGAAATTTTTCCTAATGTTGTTCACCAACACTGCTTAAGGCATATACGTGAGAATTTCAAGAAAGCAATACAACATATGGGGCCGGTTAGGTGACGTAGAGTTTTTGTGCAAAAAATATATGCACATGGCAATGCAGATGACAAAGGATTTTTTAATAGATGCATGGAAGATACGAAGAGGATCAAAGTAGATATCCACCAGTGGCACATGGATCGAGATGTGTCCTAATGGTCTTTAATAAATGATGGAGGATTTATATGGTGTAATGACAACCAATGCAGTTGAGTCTTTTAATGGAGTTTTGAAGCGAGCTCGAGGATTGCCAATTCAATCCATGATTACGACCATCTACTATAACATTGTCATAATGTTTATGAGGGGGTTGGAGTTTGTTACAACTGAAGAGCAGCAAAATAATACCTTCTTTGCTCCACGTGTACTGACATCACTTAAAAGGGTAGAGGAGGAGGCTAGAAGAATGCCATAACCAATCCATCTTAAGTTGCATGAATTTCAAGTTGTCGACATGTCCTCTAGATCATATCATGTCGCTTACTTGACGGGAGGAGGTGCAAGTGCAGTTGTGGGAAACCTTTACTATATCATATATCATGTGTAGATGTGGTATGTTTTATAACAATGTTAAGACGAACACAATTTGATTATATTTCTCCCTACTACATGAAGACCAACTAAAAATTCAGTTATTATGCAGAATTTCACCATATCCCTAATAAGGAAGAATGGGGAGAGCATGACCCCAATACTGGCCTTTTCCCGTGTCTCCCCCCAAACTATTGAAGGTGATCATGATGTCCAAGGACTAATCAATATCACAATACAATGGACGAGTCACATCCATAGAGCAACAGGGTTCTTTGATGATGGAAGTAAGCATGATAAACCATTTTTCATGCCCAGGATGCTCCTCAATATTACAATGGATATACTGGACCCTCCTCTTATCCTTATCAAGGGGCCTCTGGGGACCTCTTGAGTAACGAGGTGCCTGCGGATTTGGATGCATACCTCAGCCCAGATTTTGTACCAAGCTCCCTTCATACATATGACATAGCTGAGGAAGAAGTTGTTGGGGAGGAACAGCGCATGTTATATCAAAGGCCACGATGACCACCACAACATTACACTCCAGGCACTGATGCATTGTCACATAGGCCACATTGGCAACTCTAGTTCATCATTTTATGTATTTTGTTATGCTTATGTTATGAATCATTTAAATTATTACCATTTTATTTATAAAACTTTTTTTACTTGACTAGTAAAATGCACGTGAGTTTAATTAAAACTTTTCCTTATATTTAGAATCAAACACTCATTAACTCTAATCATACATATTCAATACTAATTATTATTTACATTCTTTTTAGCATATATAACTAATACATACATACAATATTATAGCATGCATTCATAAGAAAATGATGAACCTGAAGAAGCGTAACTTTTTAGAGCATGATTGTTCATAAAATGATGAACTTTAACTTAAGATTTAAAGACATTTTCTATTATTTTGTAGGGGAAAAGCAAATCTTCTAAAATTTACTTCTTAGAAAGCTTTTTAGCCTTTTTTTTTTAAAAAAAATTACTTCTTAACGATTAGATTAAAAAATAAGACAAAAAAAGGTGAAGGGCTGGAGCCACGCTATCAATCATACATTATATTGGCACCTTAAATTCTCTTAAATTTGTGGTGCAAATATTTTAAGATTCAAGATATTTATTGATTATAAAATCTATTTTTTTTTAAATAAAGTGTAATTTTTAGGCTAAAAAATTCTTATAAAATTAATCAAGAATTTTGATGAAAGAAATTATAAAACCAAACAACATAAAAAGCAATTCAAGAACTTTAAATTTATTTTAGAAGTAAAATATACTTCATCATAATATTACTAAATATTAACTTGAAGTGAACGAAATGTTTTTAACGTTACCAAAATACAACTAATACATTAATTAAAAACCAAATTACAACTACTACATCACCATCAAATAAGCATTAGTAGATAAAACTAAACTTAAGACATAAAAAATATCTTAACAATAATATTAAGTTACATTTTTTTAATTATAGTACACATGCATGATTGGAGTTGTGTCTGAGTTGGACAACATTTGAAGTGGAACTCAAACTCTCGCTGAATATACTGCCAGTCTGCTGCATTCAAGAACTCCTTCTTAACTCCTGATACAAGAACTCCCATTAGGGTTTGATAAGACTCTAACAAGAAATGATCATCTCGATAACGCCACGTGTGATAAAGAATACAATGATCAACATCGAGCAGTGATCCTTCAACAATCTGATCAACACAACCTTTCTTGTCTCATCAGATCTCTTGAATTTGGCACTTGATGAACTCCAACGGAACCCAATGCTGAGTATCCTCCTCGAACCTTTGTTGTACATATTGCCAGCCCACATCTCTAAGAAAATTATCGGCCCTGTACAACTTCACTTTCATCAGTTCATCATGTACATGCCAAAATGCGAATCTTCATCTTCGCTCCAAAAATGCATACAACATTGAAATATTCATTTGCTTTTGCCTTTACTTCAAGAATTTAATCAGTGGGTAGCTCCAAACTTTCTTTCAAACGGATGCAACCTCTTGAATCATCTGCTTCGTTGAAGTGCTCCAAATCAAATCCATAACTGGTGAATACATGACGATCTATTTAATAAGAAAACAAAAATTAGTTTGACATTGGGTATAACACTACACTGCATATTTATACTCCCATGTGAGATAGGGGGGAACCAAGGTCACCATATTTTTTTACTAGCTGATATAAAAACACACACTATGCTGTCATTGTAAACTGATTTAACAACACATAATGATCTGTCAACATAAAGTGATTTGAAAACACAGAAAATAATCTTAGATTTGATTTGAAACACAACTTATGAAAAAAAAAAAATCTTTGAACAGTTAAATCGAATATCAAATCTTATAGTACAAACCATAAAAAACTGGAATTACACGTTATTCTTTCACCACTTGTAATTTTTTTATTTAACTTTTTAAATAGTGCTAAGATATATATATATATAAAATAGGGAAAAGTCGCACGTTTAATGGGTGACTTATAATGGACGACTTATAAATATGTACAGTATTTCTCAGTCTTTGTCTACTCAGCATAACAATCACCTGACTCAACTAATCCTAACAAGCATAAGTCGCCGGTTAAACGGGCGATTTTGCCTATTTTTAATTCTTTTTAACATGCTTAAGATATTAATACAATTTATAATCATGCTTAATCTTAAAATTTTCCCTTGTTTCTAACTTAGACAAGTTAACATTGCAAAAGACTCCAAAAACTTGACCTGTCAGTCTTAGGTTAATTTGAAACTTAGGCAAAAGTTAGCTCATTAAGTTGAAATTTAACACAGAAAGAAATATAACTAACATAAAGGTCTTTTTTGAAGACTAATCAAACTAATTTGGCCGCCTCCAATATGGAATTTTAGAAAAATTAAGATATGTAATAATAGATAGCTAAGTAGGCTATCGTATGCATGCATGAAAATTTGATCACTTTGCATGAATATCTAATATATAAATATATTAAGATTGCTAAATCTTTTCTCTATGAACATTCTCTTTTATTACTTTATCAAAATAGTAGAAATCGAAAATTATAGCAGCCACTACCTTCTCTCCAATAATAGAACTTTCTCAGTAAAGCTGTCAACAGCATCCCCTACCTTCTCTCCAAGCCATCCGAACGATCATCTATAAACATATCACTGTAGATCCAGATCTTAACTAATGATGAACCGATGAATTTATAAGCTTTACTTCTCAACTCTGTCACTCTATATTCTTCAGCGTGTATCTGTTTAATTTTTCCTGACACAGCCACAAACAGATAGGAGAACTGTTTATGATAAGTTTTTATCATCGATTAGAATATAGAAACAAATTACTTGATATTAGTTTGATGACACGAAGAGAAGCACAGAAAGCAGTATTTCTTATATTATATTAGTAAACAGATATTGATTTGATTCATTACAAAGCTTTATATTCTCTTACAGGTAGTCCAGTACATAACTGCGCATGCATGCTCTTATTTTTCATTCTTAAGTGTTATTAATAAAGTAGTCCAGCGCTTAGTTGAGACCTCCAACACCTCCCCCATATCCGGATCCACCACCAGAACCATAACCAGATCCGGATCCCGCGCCTTCTCCACCTCCACCACCAGCGCCACCACCGCCACCACCACCACTTCCATAGCCTCCACCATGGGCCCCACCTGCACCAGAACCTGATCCAGAACCATAGCCAGATCCGGATCCGCTCCCACTTCCATGTCCACCACCTAAACCGGCACCTCCGCCACCACCTCCACCACTCCCATAACCACCTCCTTCTGCTCCACCTCCGCCAGACCCTGAGCCGTATCCCTGCCCAGACCCAGATCCTGAACCAGCACCACTGCCTTCACCTCCGCCGCCACCACCTCCACCGCCATGACCACCGCCGCCCACTCCACCATGTCCACCTCCCTCACCATATCCCCCACCTTCACCATAGCCGGAACCCGAACCCAATCCACCACCTGAACCACCTCCTCCTCCACCACCATGACCTCCTCCGCCACCGCCTTGAATGCTCTTCAAGGACCTTGCGGCAGAGGAAAGGGCAATGCTAATGCCAAGAAGAACTAAAAAGACCAAAGCCGTGAATTTAGTGCTAGTCGCCATTGTGGCTTAAGGAATGTTGGATGAGAAGCTGTGGTGGCCGAGTGAGTGCTATTTATAGCTAAGGGCTTGCACTGCATGGTAAAGCTCCTGTAGGTTTATGACATCAAATCGCGTGGCTACCACTTCACCAACTTTAAACGTTGCCAGAAAAGAATGATCAAATTTTCTCCACATTGGTTGCCTTTTTTGAAAATTAGGTTCTCATGGTATGATGAAAAAGATTTTGTTCCTTATTTTTTTCTTCTTTTATTTGTTCCATTTCTTTCTTCTTTTATTTATTTTTTTTTTCCAGAAGCTATCCTATTCTGCTTTTGAAGTTGGTTCTCTCAATCGAATATCGTCATTTGGCTTTCTTTAATTTTAGAAAGCAAAAACAAGAACAAAAGTTTCTTCTATTCACACTTGCAGATACTCACGTGGCTTGCACCTTCAACATTTACACCAAAAGCTCTATTATTGTTGTTGAAAATATGTTATAACTTGATTATTTTAAATTTTTTAAATTGATTATTTGATTATTTTAATTTTTTAAAAATTTATAGCTGGCACCAAAATAGCATATGACCTTATAAATTGATTATTTTAAAAATATTTTTTAATATTTTTACTTCATTGACTAAGGTTTATAACTGTAGTTTTAAATTATTTAGCGCCCCTATTATAGATTAGCTCATAAATGCATAACATCATTTCATTAAAAATCTTTAAAAACAAAAGAATATCCATATTTATTTTGCAATTGCTTTATTTAAAATTTGGTATTATGATGATTTTCATGAAATTGCTTAATTGAACTCCTCATTTTGACATTCATGTGGAATTCCATACCATTCCAATTTCGATCTGCTTCCCTAACCTTCAACCTCACCTCTTTTCTCCCAATACCTTCATGGATTGGGGTCTTTGTTTGGCAGACCCATGCATAAAATGAATAATGCTACCTCTAATGACACAAGACCCTTTAATGAAACGCCGCCGGAACCAAAAATGCCGGGAAGCCGCCGGAGAACCGCAGAAAATATGTTGAAAAATTAGTCAAACATATTCCGCCGGAAATATGTTGGGAAGCCATTAGAAAATAGTCTACCGGAAAACCGTCGAAAAAATCCACCGGTAATGGGCGAATTTCCTCTAGTGCATGTTCTTGTTAAGTTAGATGTTACCAAATGTTATCCTAATCATGTTTGGCTAGGTTCTGAAAGTTTGGGTTATATTCAAGTTGTGGAAATGGATGTTTTCCTTCTTATTGTGTTCATTGCAAAGCTTTGGGGCATTCAAAATTAGAATGTCGCATTTTACACCCTCATTTAGCTGAAGCTCCCACTAGTACCCCGATTGCTGTTAAGGTGGGTGATATGACTGAGTTATATATGCAGGTAAATGTGGATAATTTGAACCTTGGTCACCCCTTTTGGTTATTAATGCGAGTGATAAGGTTAATAATGTTGTGAATGACAATGTTTAGAGCAATGTGTGTGTTGATTTATCTTTGCATGAAACTGTCACTCTGGCTAATCCAGGCCATGTTTATGGTGATGTAGGGCAATCAGTTTAGCTTGATTCACTGGTCTCGGACAACTCTATGCTTCCTCCTACTATTGTTCTGGTTCAGAAGAAATTATATATTTTAATCCTATTTTGGCGACATTGGATTTCCTATTCATGTTGTGAACATTGATGGCATTAAATATTCTTCTCCTTTTGTAGTTTTGGCATGTTTGGGTCATGATGGAGGTGAGGGTGCTTGTGTTAATGATCTGGTTCTTTCACCTGCTGTTGAGAAAGCTCTTAAGGAAATTTTCTTTGGATCTTGTCATGGGTATTTGAATGTAGTTAACATGGGTTTATGTGATGTTAACATGGTGGTATTGAATGATTCTTCTAGTGATTTGGTTATTGCTTTAGTTGACTCGCTTGTGGCTTCTGGTGAGCCAACTTTGTCACCTTGTACTGTAATGGGAATGTGCCTCTTATAGTGTTCCTATTGTGCTTATTTCTACTAATGCTTTGAAAGCTCAATTGGTTTCCAAATCGAGAGACACTTGTGTAGATCAATCCGATTGGTTGGATGTGTCATTTTCCTTGCCATGTGGGGTTGGTGAGGATGGCATGGATGGATCGGTTGATACATTTCAATGCATGTACGACTTGAATGTGAGTCGTGTTGTTTAAAAATCCTTTTACCATATTGCTGTTAAACGTCGTAAGAAAAAATTCTAAAAAGAAGTAATGTGTTATCATTGTTTTTATCTTATGCTGATGGCCATTATTTGGTTGGTTGTCTTCTTTTGGTTGGTGTTCTTCTGATGTTAGGGCTTTGCTTGGTTGTTTGGTGTGAGGGGTGTAGGTGGCTGGGATATTTTAATTGTGGTTGGGCTGTGTGTGTATTGTGTCCTCAGTTCTGTTGGCTGTTCCACTTTGTTGATTGTTGGTTTTTGTGAGTACTCTTGTGGAGGCTCTTTGCTTATGTTGGATCTATTTAATGGTGGGGTTTTTGCTTCTCTTATTTATTCCTATTTATGTCTTTTGTTATGTGCAGATCTCTATTCTAAGGTTGATGTGGCTTCTAATAGTTACTGTGAGGCTTTTGCTGCTTATTTGAGCTAGATTGGTCTTCTTTGGATCTTTCTTGGTGATTTTTTTTTTTATTTTCCGGTCTATAGTAATAGGTAGAACCATTGGCTCATAGGTTTTACTTTAAAGATTGCATTTTTAGAGAGCTTTTGGTTCTTTAAGGACCTATATTTTTATTGTTTATGTAACACGTAAGCCCCTCTATGATTTTTATAAAAAAAAAAATCCAATAAATCCATTTAAACCTAAGGCAATCTTGTTGAAAATAAATCAAGCGACTATGATCAAGAAACTTGTCCAAATAAATGAATAAAGCCTAACAATCGACCATAGCAACTATTATCTTAAAAGTTGGGCCTAAGCCTCCAAAGATGATTATACAATGTAATAAATATATTATTAAAGATGCTAATGTATATAGTAATGAATTTCAAGACTAATTTTGATGCAATATGCTAAATCATTTGGAGGTCAATAAAAGCCAAGGAAACTCAAGGAAATTAAGAGTACATTAAATGGAGCTTTAGAAGTTACTTTAATTAATTAAGGACATGTGAGTTATTATTATTATTATTATTTTTTAAGATCTACATTAGCATTAAAGCAAAAATTTAAAGACATGTGATTTATTCGGATGTTTACTTTTGTAACATGCATTTTAGTTAACTTTTCACTCAAATTCTCAATGGCAAATTAGTTTATTATATATTATAAATCACTCAAAATTTTTTAAATATTCTAATTAAATACCATGAAATTCTTATGTTACATAACTTAAAAAGTTCTTATGCCAATTTGATGATTATACTTACTAATTTTTATTAAACAAATTTTAATGAAAGATGTTATTAATTAAATATTAATTTTCTTTTATGAATAGATTAGTTAATGCTTTTATTATTATTTCTTTGGTTGGAAGTAAAATGGGTGTAAAGTATTCCAAATGCAAGTGTTTTGAAAGTATTGGTATTTGGTTAGATGAAAAATAATACGGAGTAAAGTAAATAAAGTATAAATCATTTTAATTCTTTTTTCAAGTAAACTAAACAAGTTTAGTTTTGAGTATGAATCGTTTACACCGCAAGCAAGCTTGCTTTACCTTTAATATCGATCTGCTATGCCAAGAATTCCAGTAATGAGCATAATTAAGTTCAACAATCATTTGTATTTTATTTATTGCTTGTATTTTTGTTTTAATATGTCAAACAAGGTCTTTTGTGTGATGAAGTTGGGTTAGAGTGGTGAAACGTTAAATTGGTGATCATGGGTTGAGTTAGAAAAGTGAAAAATATAAATTTGGGATCATGAATTTGGGTTGAAAAAGTGAAAATGAAACTTGGAAAAGTTTTTCTACGGGCATTGTGGCACTAGGGTTGGCTGCACCGCAACATTGACCTTACAAAAAAAGAGAAAAAAATAGATTTTGGGCAATCGCTGTAGTACCGGGAATTACTGTCGTGGCATCGATTCTTAGGTTAGAATATTCTAGGAGAATATGGAAAACTATCTATGAGCATTATGGAACTAGGAAACGAGCGCCACATCACTAGGTCAAAATAATATAATTTTATTTCAAAATATCTAAAACTACTTGCCATTTCCCCATTCCTCAGCCGCCTTATCGAAAAAGGGAGAGAGAGAGAGAGAGAAAGAGAGAAGAAGAAGAAGAAGAAGAAGAAGAAGAAGAAGAAGAAGAAGAAGAAGAAGAAGAAGAAGAAGAAGAAGAAGAAGAAGAAGAAGAAGAAGAAGAAGAAGAAGAAGAAGAAAGAGAAAGAGTGGGAGGAGGTTTGGAGGAAAACTAAGGAATTAATTATCTAGCCAATTAGGGAAATTATTTATAAAGCTCGAGGTAGGCTTTTGAATCCCTATTTCTAATTTTCAATCTTATTATTTTATAATAAGTTATGGATTAAATTTTATTTTTCTTGAGTTTTAAGAAGTTTCACCGTGTAACTTTTTATATGTTGTAATATGCCCTATTTTGAACATTTTTGCAATAAGAATTTTAATTTTACCTAGTTGATTTTTTAATATAGTTTTTTGAGTATATTATCAAATTGAGGCTTTTCTGGAAAATGCAGTAGTTATATAAAAGTCTTGAATTGTCCATGTGAATGTTTCTTTGAAGTTAAAAATTTGAAAAGAAAAAGTTTAGTGAATGTTCTATTTTACAAGTAGTGAGGCTTTTACTGATAATACATGCACTTTTTGAATTTTCTATTGAGTATCACTGCATTGTATCTTCATCATTCATTGCATGGCATTGTAAACATTTATTTTGAAAGGTTAAAAAAAAATGCACTCTTTGTTATATTATAAGGGCCATATATATACTTTTTTGGCCACATATACCTGATGTAGATTTGAGAGGGATTCTATCTCCCCACCTGTTGAAAGTAGGTTTGAGAGATTAAGTAACATTGTAAATACTATTCTGGCCCCATCTACCTGATGCAGATGAG